TGGCTTTAGCCAATGTTCAGAGTCCAGCAGAAATGCTGCTCTGAAATTTTGCTTCATAAGGTACCCATAAGCAATGTATTATTTGAATATAGCTAGTGAAGTTTTGGCCGTTACATCCCGTGATGTACCTTAAGTAAAGGGAAGACAACACTTTCACTTTGCCATTTCAGAAGTTCATTAAAATCCTTCAAATATGCTGGATTCAATGGATGGGGCAGAAGAATCATGTCAAGATGACAGTATATCAGGCCCTTGTTTGCTACAAAGATTAACGGGTTGTGTATAATTAGAGAAGTGGGCAGCACACTTGGCTGTTACCTCCTATTTGCATAGTTCCAGAGTGCCAGCTAAGATCAAGTTATCGAAAGCTATTCCTGAACTTAGCTGTGACCCCCCACTACACCGCCGGTTACTTTTTCAGTGTGGCGACAGAGTGTCTCTAACAGAATGCCATAGTACATGGACTAAACAGATTTAGGCTGTCCTTTAACACCTTTGTCTGCGGTTGACAAGCAAAGGAGCTGAGCGAAACAACACCATTAACACTTGCTTTCTCAACCAACTCTTACTGCTCTTCAAGCCCACAATGCACCTTAACAAGAGCTGCTTTGATGCAGCAGAGCCACATTGCAAACCTTCTCCTCCAAATACAACAAAAAGATATAACTTCGGATTCGTACTTACCTAGGCTCAATGCCAACAGGAAGTCAGAAAGAGCCTTCTTACTCTAATAAAAAAAAAACGAAGGAATTGTTTTTGTTTGTATTTTCAAAACTTATCAAATACAACCAAGAGCTGGAGCTTTTACATGGTATATGCCTGGCAAGCTCAACTTTTTTTTTACCGTATAAATAACGAGCAACACACATTATCAGTTTCCTTAACTTGTACTTGGATTACTGTGCTTTGGCAGTAAGACAGCACCCTTTGGTACTTCACAGCTAAAAGCAAACTGATTCTCATATCTGCTAAGAAAAGCCCAAAGCAACTAATGACACACATCTGTTTCCTTCCTGGCTACTCATATATCTTGTGATGAAAAAAGCCATGTGCTGCAAATGTGTGTAATTACAATTATTGAGATAAGCAGACAGGCTGCACTGGAGAAGTGGATTAATTTAATAGAACCTCTGCCCCCCATCCTCCTGGCCCCCTGGCCTACTGAAATGAGCAAATGGCCTCTGCCCCATCTTCAAGGTGTTGCTGGTTACACCACACCTATTGCAACCACAGATGCCTTGGTGTCAGGTTTTCATTTACTCAGCTGTGTCTCTGCTCAGCGCGGGGGGCTCTTCAGAGCCAAAATGGACTAGAGGAAAAAAAAAACTGTGATGTGTTGCTGTCATTGCTGGGCTTCCTTCACTGACTGATATCATCTCAGCATCATAAATAGCATAAGCAGGATAGCTAATGGGTGTCCAGTTACACCCCCAAAAAACAAACAAGTTGTGATTTACCGAGAGCAGGGAGAAAGACTGGAGACAGAACCCTGCCTTTGGAGTTATTAAAGACTCAGGTTTTAGCAGCAGCTTGATGCATAAACAGGAACATTTATAGATGTTCGCTATTCCCATCCATCGGATTTAAGCTAAAATTGAAGCTGTACACCATTGAATCAGACAATGCAAATATGTGAGTGTCCCTAGATCTTATCAGAGTGAGCATGACCTGAAAATGTTTCAATTTGTGTCATTTCAAGAAATTAGAATCATTCAAGGTTGCAAGAAGCTTGAGGCAAACAAGGAGTCAGAAGGACAAACCCAGCATCTTTGTTCATTTCTCTTTGGCATTAAATTCACAATCATGTTAAAAGTAAATACAGTACAAACATATATACATATATACTACCTAACACAATGCTGCACATTAAAGTCAGGAAGTGTGGCACCAGGACCTGGACATCATCATCAGGAATGCTCTCTAACTCACTACACCTTGTGTTCTGTCCTCTCTTTGATTAAGACCAGATTGTACCAAACCCATGAGGGCAAGTTTTGTCTCGTGGTCTAAAGGTGACTAGATCTGCTGACAGTTTTGGAGTGATTTCTCTTCTGATCTGAGCTGTATTTGAGTTCAGGCCCCCGGGGAGAAAAAAGGACAGGGACTTATCCCACCTTGACCCCCACACCCTCAACGAATAAAATCCCCATAAGAGATAAGATCACTTTATTAGCCATATACAATTTCTTGCATTAGGAATTTGTCTTTTTCGCATACCCCAGCTGGCTTTCCATGAGACACACAGATAGGGAGAGAGAAGCTTGGGGTCAGAGCACAGGGTCAGCCATTGTACAGCACCCCTGGAGCAGTTGGGGTTAAGGGCCTTGTTCAGGGGCCCAACAGAGGAGGATTCCTCTGCCGGCCGCGGGATATGAACCGGTGATCCTTAGCCACAGAGCCAGCGCTCCGCCCCAGCCATGTAATGTTCCATTACACAGATATTATAAACTTCGGTCTGAACACTCTCGTCAAAACTCATGTAATCTGCCAACTCCCTTAGGTCACTTATTAAATTTAATGCACATTAGCGTTGCACACGACAGCTGAATGTTTTCAATACAGATAGGATTCTTATATAGATGACATAGCGTGACACCAGGTGGCCAGACGCTGTAGGGGGATGTCAATCAATAAAGAAACCCATGAGCAAGTCTGGTCGTGACAGAACACAATCAAATCATCAGACTTTCAGCAACAGCAGAAACAGCAGCAACACTTACATTTAATTTTTTGTCATTTTATTTTCAGATATACCCTATGCAGCCTTTCTGAGAAAGCTACTAAATACTGTATGTCAGCCTTGTTCAAGCAAGTAACAAGTATCAGACAAAAATAAATTAAAATAATCAAATGTATTATTGTAATAATATTACTAAATATTACATAATGTAATGATACCACTCTATAAATGTAATGTTTTCATGTTTTACACATTTCAGGTTCAAATTTCATTTTGAAGTTTTACCTTTTGAAGAAAATGCCATCTCAGTGCATTTACTGCACAACATTGTAACACTTCTATTCACAAAATGTTTTTTTTTCCTATTATAATCACTGGCACAGTTATTTTCAATTCTTTGAATAGAAACCAAACATATATGAGGAAGAACAGAGGAGATCAATATATAGTATTGTAAGAGCCTGGTTTGGAGAAACTCACATTATAAGGCCCATTCTAATCTTTAAAAAAAAAAGAATAAATATTACTCTGGTAACAAATCATAACTGCAATTATAGTGCAGTCTTGTTTTTCAATTGAGAATCAATTTCATATTATTTATTAAGTTTAATAAAAAACTTTTTTATTTTCATTTTGGTTAATCATTTCTTTCATGGTTTATTTTACCTACTGTATTAATATCAGTATACTGGTGGGATAAAACTGTGACAAGCCATCTTTATAGTTCCAGGGAATATGATGGAGATATACTGAACTTCTACATCATAAGTACAGTTATATAGCTCTCACATATAATCAAAAACAATTTCCTAAACCTCAGCAAACAATATACTGGTACTTGTGCAATGTGGCTAGTTAGTGATCACAGTGATCCAAAAGTTAGTAAAAAAACATAAATTATGTGTGTAGAACTTGAGTAGTGAGTTTTGAAACAGTCTTTGATAAGAAGTCGATTCTAATCTTTAACCACTGCTGTTGAAAAATAACTTGGCTAATAACTTACTGTCTCTTTTCTTTCAAGTGGTTTTGGAAATCATTTCTAAATCAGATAAGAAATATTGTAGCCTGGCCACAAATTACAGTGCTCTTTTATAGTCCTTATCCCACACCTGTAAAAGGTGAATCCTTAATTGCTGTGTATTAACATAAAACCATACCATGCCATGAAATCATACTAATCCTTTAGAGGATGCTAATTGAATTGGCTTAAGAGTAACTCTGTTCCATTTCATGGCTCAATAGCCAATAAAATTACTTCTGTAGCCTCATTGACATTAGCAGCATGACAGTTCAACAAATGTCTTTTAAACATTAGTACAAGACTGATTTTGTATACAGCAACACTTCTTCAATCAAATGTAATGCCTCAGATATTTAAGCATAACAAATCATCTGCACAAAAACTGTAGTACTGCAGACCAGTTAAGAAAAAAAAAACCTCAATGCAAAACCATTAAAAACCTCTTAAGTTTATTCATTATACCTTCCTTTGGCAAAGGTACCAAGAGACTATATTTATCAATCATGTCCTCAGCTATAGCAAAAAAGCACAAGTTTTCATGATCAATGATGATCATTTGTGATCATTTTGAAAACCTTTGATATTTTGGAAGCTCAAGGTTTAGCTAAGGGGTGGAATTCAGAATAAACAAACAATTACAAAAATAAGCAGAGACCAGTTTTCTAGAGACAGTTTTCACTGGTACACTCAAAAAATTACTGCTACATGACATATAGAAACTTCTGGGATCTGAGAACTTTTGACTTTGTATTTCTTCAGCTGTATTAAATTTAGTTTGTACAGTATAAATCAGCCCTTTGAAATGCCATAGCATTGTGGCCATAGCTCTTTGTCCTCATTACGACCTCCATTAGATCAAAACATTGGTAATACCATTTTACAGATCTTTTTGAATCACTTAAATAAGCACGCATATCATTTTCCCCCAGTTTTTCTCTTGTACAGCACCTTGCACCTTAAGATGTTTTGGATGTGAGCTTATTCCATTTTGTAGAAAACAGTTTACAGCAACATGAACTTTCACTTTTGTGCATGTAAACTTAACTTTGAGGCATTTCTAATGACCTGTTAAACACCATGAACAGCAAAACAACTCCTACTACTGTGGCAACCCATGGCACATCACTGAGAATCACCCTCCATATTTTACCAAATTACCTAACACTGATGCCAGCCTAACATCTTGTCGAGTAGAAAACTTTGGAATTACTTTCCTTACTGAGTGCACCACTGAGATAAATGTTACTTTACACTTAAATTAATTGATTTTTGTTTTGTAAGTAGAAAGGTTTTACTTACCCTGATGACCTCCGGAGTCTGCTGAATTAACAGAGATGGACCAGTGTCTCTCACAACAGCAGGAACTGGGCCAGGCTGTGATTTCTGCTCGGACTTGGCCGTGGTCACCAAAGTGTCCTGAAGAAGTCGCATGACTTCACGTTCTCTAGATAAAGTTCCCTTTCCTGTCCCACTTTCCACAAGCTCCTGGGCGAAGCTTTCGATGCTCTCCAGGATCCGCAGCAGGAGAGCCCCATCCTCCTCATCGTTCACATCGCCGCCGTGCCTGCTGGTGTCCTTCTTGCCTGGGAGTGGGGAGGTCATGGCTGGAGGAGGATGGCTTTTGCTTCCTGAGCTAAAGATCAAGTGCTGAACTGATCCTGGCTGTTGGCTACAGTTCACGACTTGTTGGCTGTTGCCTTTCATGGATGGCTCTTGCTCCATATTTTGGGAAAGGCACTCCAAATCCATTAGCAATTTATCGATGTCATCCTCCTGGTTGCTGTGCCCCAACGTCTGGAAAGCCCTTGACTCTGCACTTAAATTTGTAGGGGAGACAAATGCTTTGCTGGCTCCTTGCAATGCATGGGGATCTATCTTTGGCTTACATGTAGTCCCGTTACTTATGCTTTCAGACAGTTTATCTGCACCATCACTGGTTTCTGCAAAGGTGCTTGGCTTTTTAGAGAACTGCTTGACTTCTGTAAACCCCAGGCTGAATTTCCCTTCCCCTCTGAGTTCCTTGTCCAGCACTTTTCCAAGATCAGGATCCTCCTCTATGTACAGTGCTTCCATGGATTCTTTACATATACTATCATTGCTACTAGACAGTAATGAGTTTGTAGAGGAATAGCTGTCAGAGTGGTTGATCGCAGTGACTTGAGGTAGGGAAGTGGAACTGTTAGCAGCAGTCATGGTATTCTGCTGCACATTGTTAGCAAGAGATGATGGATGAGATGGCAGGCTGGAAGGGCTTTGGACTGATTTCACATTGTTAACTGGTTCCCGAGAGGCTTCCTGGGATTCTAACAGAGAGGAAGGAGGTAGAGTTTTGGTTAGAGGAGGGGAATGGACTACATCCTCGTACCTGGGAGGCTGTTCGTTCCCAAAGATAGGGGAAAAGGGACTTTGCTGCAGTCCATGTAAGCTGTTTACCAGTTCGGCCAAGTCGTTATGTTCTGAACGTCCAGGCAGCCCGTGTTCAAACTCAAAAGGCAGCTTCTTAAGATAGCTGGAAAGTCTGGCCATGACATTCCTGTATATGAGTTCGGGATTAGTGCTGGAATCGTCGCTCTCGCCACCCATGGATTTTCGCTTGATGCACTGCTTAATGATGTCGGTGCACTTTTTGAGGTCTTCTGAGCACTTGAGGAGGATATCCAAACAGGCTTTAATGTCTTCACCTGAGGCATTACTGTCCATCTTGGTCTTTTCTAAGATCTTGTTGATCAGGTTTTCCTCTGTCAAGCTGTTCAGGTACAGTGTCGCAACATTGTTGACATTTTGTTCCAGTGAACTGCTGCGGCTCAGCTTGTGCTCTTCCATGACTGATTTCTGCAGCATGCCAAAAGGAGGGCAATTCTCATCGTTGCCAAAGTGCCCATATATGATATCCAGATCTGTGGACCTTCTGCTGAAGGAATCTGGCCTTACTTTCCTCCCTTTCCTGAAAGTGACATGACTGGAAGAATACTTAATTTTTTCAAAAGAGAACTCCTTGATCTTTCCGCTGGCTAAATTTATAGCCTCTCCTGTGATGTCTTTTAGGCTGGTGGAGCCCTGAATGGCCAATCCCTTTTTGATTCTAGGAGCACCTGGAAGGACTTGGTGATAATCCTCACTCATGGCTTCAGGGGCGGCATTGCCATTTTCAACAGCTGAAAATTTATTGCCAAGTTCCTGGGCACCTGAAGGTCGGGCATTGGAAGCCGGAGCAACAGGAGCTTCCACCAGCTCTGAGCAGGTGCTATGGTGAGCTACAGTACACTCAATACCGTGTTTAAGAACCTGACAAGGCCCGCTACAGTAGTGCACAGTGTGCTGAAAACGTCGGTCTATGACAACACTGTTGTAACAATTAACAGTGCTTACTACAATGCGATATGTTGCTGCCATCGTTTCTGTTGACTTGCAAGCCACGTGTCTTCAAATAACAGCCTCTTAACTTGGCACAACAAAAGGCTACTCCAGGTGTAGATATATTTTAAAAAGTCATTGCGCTTAAAAAAGGCTGAGAGCTCCGTTTTCTGTATATAATTATCTTTACATAGTCAGGTGTCAAAGTTTAAGTAAACACTTATTAAAAAGAAAAGTTAAAAAACCTTTTGGGCCCCACAGCAGTCGGGGGTATTCAGACTACAGCTGAATCCACTTGGTTACAGAGAATTCTGCTTGTATAGTTCACATACCATTCATTAGGACATACTCCATACTCAGTGAATAATAGCTCTGTTCACCATTGTGGCACTGCTATCCATTTCTTAACAGTGCGATCAGTGGCCTAATGATAGGCCTGTCTGTAGCTCCCAAGAACATCCCACTTTCAATGGCAGATGCCTGGAGGCGTTACTATATATTTTGCCTTTTTTTTTTCTTTTCCAGTCAGGAAGAGTTGCCTGCTGAGTGACAGATGCCTTAATGTGTTTTGTAGATGTTTTGAAAATCCTCTTTTCTCAGGCCTGTTTGTGCGGTGGATTCTTGACCACAAAGAGAATCAACCTGTAACAAGAGTAAAAAAGGACAGTACTGTAAAACTGATGCAATGAAGCTGATTTGACTGTTTTCTCAGCAAGAAAGCAATTTCAAATAAAGTTTTTTTAACTGGCTTTAGTTTTATGCCACAATGAACTTCCTGTTTGAACGCACCCAAATAGCCCATAATCAAACACTTTTAGCGCTTTTTAAAGATGAAAAAAGCTTCAGGCTTGAAAAGAAGCCAAAGAAAATTTGGAGTCTGGAAATCAGACAATATCTTGGGATGGATCTGTAGATAATAAATACATAGAAAACAAAAAAACCTTTACAGAATGAATGTTATTTTAAGGTGAGGTCAAATATGTAAGCAATAGCTTGTCAGTAATAATTGAACTCTCTGACTTTTGAAGTACAAACTGTTTTTCGTAGCTGCTTTTCATTCTCTTTTGGTTGAACATCTGGTTGCTTTTCATAATAGAAAACAAAACACACACTTGCATAAGGCTTTTGTTGATTAAACTACAAAACTACATAAACCACCATTATAAAAGAAAAGCTTTTGCCCAGCAGTTTTAAAAAAGCAGTTCAGCTGAAAAATGCATATGACAAGGTGCAACATAGCAACTCCCTACATGAACAGTACTGTATTTTAAGCCCAGTGTAAAGAGGTTAGGCACAAGTTATGGATATTGTCCACATCAGTGTGAAATGAAAAGTACATCAAAGCAGTATAAGATCTCCACAGAGCTCACTGTGCAACAAAATGAAAAACCACTAAAGAAATAAATATTATACTGCATAAAACATACTAAGGGTGGTACAGTGGCACTGTCTCTCAGAGCTGGGGCCCTGTGTTTAATTCTGGACCAAATATTCCAGAATTAAATGTGTTCTCCCCATATTCACAAGGGTTTGCTCCAGGTGCCCCAGTTTCCTCCCACAGTCCAAAATACAATGGTAGGTTAATTGACTTCTGGGAAAACTGCCCCTGGTATGGGTGTGTGTCAGTGCCTATCTGTTCTGTGATGAACTAGTGTCCCATCCAGGGTGTACCCTGCCTTGTGCCTGTTGCTTGCCAAGATAGGCTCTGGCTTCCTGGGAGTCCCGTATTGGAAGAAACAGTTTGAAAATGGATGGATGGACACAACATGTTATCTACTTGATTATTAATCAAAAAACAATTGCACTCTATTTTCAGTGATCCAACTAGAAAAAAAAACACAGTTGAAAACACAAATAAAGATGAGAAAGCTCAGGGTACGCGTGTGCATGACGTTGTTTGTGTCTGTCCGTCCTGCGATGGACTGGCATTCAATTCAAGGTATACCCTGCCTTGTGCTTGTTGCTTGTGGGGAAAGGTTCCAGCCTTTTTCATGTTGCTTCGTGAGAAGCAGTTTGAAAATGAATGGAAGGAAAAAAGCTCAGGGAGGCACTAGTTCCAAACTTTCAGCAGTAGTCTTACAGGGAGCAGAACATCATGCGCAGCAAGAATTCCCAGAATCCTCCATGACTGCACTCGGCACTAAATGTCAGAGCGTCGGTTTGAAACCTTTAGCAAGCCCTCCGACACTAGTAAACATCCAAATAAAGTTATTTTCCCCTGAAAACTCATCTTTAAGCCATGACTCTGCGATTAAAGGGCTTTTTCAGATTTACATAAGAGACTGTATGCAAATTAAACACAAAAGAACATGGCCTGAAGTGACTTTGTTTTATGACTTACCAGGTTCAGCATCCCTTTTATTTTTGTATAACCTTAGTAAATTTGTTATTTACTTAATGATAGACATTTAGTTATTTAGCACTATCAATGCACAAGCAGACAAACATACAGTAATTTGGCATTTTGTACATTGTTTAAGCAATGTGAGGATTATGGGAATTATATTTTTTTTATGTGGAACAAAGAAGAAGAAACTGATTACATCTGAAATAACAGAAATGAACAAAAATGAATGATATTTATATGAGCTCTGGTTTTACGCATAGACAATATATAAATAGATAAGGATGTAAAACTGTAATATGCAGAGGTCAACAATAACAAAGCTGCAATGATTATGTATAAACAGAAACAGTCTAATGACTATTCTAAGAGGAATAAATGCACATTCAGAACAGTAATCTTCATTAGGTAATGTACTGCTTCTGTGCTGTAAAGGCTATTATCTGTTTAGGATGATTTGTCTTTGTCAATTTAATTATCTGACACTTTTATGCTTTAATTTCTTCCTACTCTACTGGAACTGTTATGTTATGTTATGAACTATAAAAACTCCTTAATTTTTCTTGAGATAGTTTTTATCATCTTAGAATTTTGGAAAACTAATCTGTCCATTGTTTGTACATAGTGCGTATGAGAAACAATTTTAGTTTTTGTTTAAGGAAAAAAGGTATAAGTTACAGTACATACTGAAAACTGCAGCAACAACATTGCTGCATCACTTTACAATGCAGAGTGAATGTCAGAAGGTTTAGGATAGTTTGCTTTCCTTGCTACACAACCCATCAGTAAGACTTCTGAAGGCATCTTAGAAAATATCTGATAGAACAAATGCTCTTATCGTAAGGTGAAACCATGCCGAACAGGATATAAAACAAAAAAATTAAAGATGAAGAATAAGTAAACTATTCCTTCAGAATCATTCCTTTAAAATTCTGAACAAATATTCTCTAATTCACTTCATCTGTATGTGCGTCACATAATACAAAACAGCAATACCCAACAATTAGGGCGCACGTGGATTTCAAGTATATCTTATTCCATTCTCAGACAAAATGCCCCAAACAAAGTTCCACATCTGCTAGTTAACCTCTCTGTTCCCACCACATGAGAAATGAGCAGGGGACCCTCTGCCTCAGGAGACATTCCAGGCTCCAGCTGACACCTTTCATAAGTCATTAGAGCAACAGGAGGTTCTCCACTGTTCTGAAAAAAATGACCACAAGACTCTTCATTTTTTTAATAAGGGTGGTATAATCAACATCTAACTCTTTCACCTGTGTATTAAAGTCCGTTCACAACAGCGCACTGCTCCCAAAGTGGAATGGTAACATCTGTTTACTCACATCTCTTTCTACCCCGATTTACTTCGCCGATTGGCGGGCGTGAATAATCAACCATCCCAAACACTGCCAGCAGTGTTTCCCAGGCTGCACTCTCATGACTTTCCCGTGGCCGAATGCATTTGAACCAGGGCTTTTCAGGATTTTGTGCATTTTAATGGCTGTCTGATGAATTCCACCATTCTGTTTGCTCTGTGTTAAAGTTCATAATGTGGGAAATTGCTCTTGACCTTAGGACTTGTTAGACAGCAGATTGCATTGTAACAACTGCTTAACTGGTGAGGTTCAAAACTCCAATTGTAAAGCAATAGCAAAAAAGCAGCTATTCTATTTAATTACATTTTTTAAGTCAATGTTTGCTAGTGGGTCTGTGGTTTATTCTAACCTTACGTACAGGTATTGTGGCCTATATGTTGATTTCTGTTGGTATTTTTAAAGAAAGGGCCAAAGCATTTTTTTTCTATGGTTGTATCTACAGGCTGTAGGGTAGCTCCACATCAACATAAACAAGAAAAGACATATCCTTCCTCAAAATGTAAACAGTGGTTAAGGCAACTCCACATAACTGGAAACATAAACATTGATTCCAACGTGTTAAAGTAAAAGAAAATAAATTAATTTCTGCAACTGGAAGAGGCTTGTCAACATCTGGACCATCTTTTGTTCTTCATAATTGAACAAAAAAAGATTTTAGGTCTGTTGGGACTACATAAGACATAACATGAAGAAAAGAGAAAAATACTGAGGGAAACATTTGCAGAAAGTGAAATATTTAGTGTCCTTTCAAACACTACAGTATTTTATAACTATATCAAACATTGAACGAAATTCATTGTTGTAACTGTGCTAAAACAAACTCATTTCCTAATAGTCCATTAAAACAGCTCCATTTCACAGCATGCAAGTTCACATTGCACTATAAAGGGAATTGGAAGAGCTGAGCAGTGTTCAGACAGAAATGTTTTATATGAAAAATACTGTATAGATATTTTAACCACAGAAAAGAAGTTTAAAACACACTATACAGCACATCTTATGCTTTTAGTAGGTATATAAGGGACAATAACTAATCAAAAAGACACTGGTTTGCCATGCCACAACATATTTTTAAAAATTTGAATTAAAGCTGATTGATTTAAAAAGTGTGTGGGGAGGAACTTTGTTTCACTGGAAAACAGTGAAATAAAAAAACAAACTGATCCTCACATAGGTCAAAATTTAGAAAGATGTTCTCAGCATTTAACAGACACCATATGTTTTTCACAAGGTCAACAATTATTTTTGTACTGTAAGTGTAACCTGGAAAAACCTTTAATGAAACTTTGAAAATGATAATGAAAGAAAATAGTGGTATAATAAAAAGGCTGATATAGCATAGTTTTGCACAATTTTACAAAACCTTTGGTGTACCACAGGCACCCAGTGAAATCCATCTCTTAACTAACAGTAAGCATTTTTAAACTTTTTGAAGGTTGTTAAGACCAACTGTGGTATCTGACATGCTTCAATAATCTGACAATGTCCAATCACACGCAGAAAAATGCTTACATTTTCAGCTTTTCAACTATACTTTCATTCCAGGATTTCTTGTGAACGGGAAATTACATTTCCTGAACATCTCATTTCTGCAGAAACTGTCAGAAAACACAGCTGATAACACAGAACAGGTACAGTATGTGGGCAAACTGTCTTTAATTCTGTCAGCAGCAACAAAAAAAAGAACATGTAGTAATAATTTTTCATGTTAAGAGTTGTCTTTTAAAACCATGTACTAAAAATAAAATTCCTCAAAAATTATAATAGAGGGCTGAACATTAAAAGACATAATAACATACAAAGTAACCAGTGAATGACTAATGACTTCCGCAGAGCTGATGACTGCCTGTATCAAGTGCATCACTGTTTCCACTTGCAGGAATGAGACCTTTCACAGTCAAAAGTCATGATGGGGAAATAAA